ACTGTCTGGAATTCCTGAAAATCAAATTATATTGCTCACTGTTAGGCTGACCGTCCGTCTACACAATTCTTGATTATAGTTACGATGTTTATTAAGAATCCATTACATAAGAGAAATATTGCTCATTGTTTGCTGGACGAGACGTTGGCGGAATTAGGTCCTAGTTTCGAAAAAAGAAATTAGTAATTTGTGGGATACCAGGAAAACTTTCTGACCTCTCATATTTGCTTCATTTTCATTCTTTCAGCGTGTATTAAAAATTGTTTCCAACGAAGCTCAAGAAAATTACAAATTTGGGGACACAAATTGGTGTCTCGATTGTGGTATTTGTGGGTTGTGACGCTGTGTAGTCTTGTGGCTTTTAAGTAGCGTTTCGGAGGAACGTATTGTCTCTCGCTTCAAGGTATGAAAGTTCGACAGTTTTAGCTTATATCTGACAAATTTAACTGAACGAAAACCTGCAAGGGGGTGAGTAATTAATGAGAATTATGCACACAGAGACTGCTGACTATCTCTGAGATCTTATTTTATAATTCTTGCTGGCCCCGCTGCATTATTTGAAATATTTCTAGGAGTGTGGGCGTCTTACGTTTTCCCCAGAACGTTTTAAAGAAGTAATCAAATCCCCTGTGTTTGTGTCCAATTTCATAACTTCTCAAACGATTTAACCCCATCACCTTCCCGTCTGGATTTATATCCCGGAGCAAGTTCTGCTCATCAAAGGTGTTCGATTTCGCCATTCAGTCTCATCTGAATTGCATATTTTATTCATTACGGCGCTGGTGACGTAAGAACTGGAGATTAAACTTCTCCAGCGTATCATTCTGCTGGAGGTACGACTGAGAGGGATGACTGGTCGCAGGATTAGCATGCAACCATGAATTAATGCTAAAAGGTGTCAGTTCGTGTTACAAGATGGGGCGACGATCGCTTTCATCTTATGCGATCCGGTTAGCTTCTAAAGCTGTGAAGGAAACCGTTCTCTTCGAAATACGAGGTTCTATACCGAAATTAAGGCAATAAATCCATTGTCAGTAAAGCAGTCTCTTTTTCTGTACCACTTTTTCTTACCCTCCTTCGTCTTCTAGATCTTCTCATTCTTTTACGTCTTCTTCAAATGCTCCATTAATTTCCCTTATTCCTTATGCTGGTTGCTTTTCATCTTCTTCTGCTTCATCTATCCCTTGCGGTAGTACATACGTAATCATTCCTTCCAGCGCGCAAGAAGATTTTTCCAAACCTCTCCTCCTCCTCCTCTGCTGACTGATCTTATCAATTCATCTTTCCATTTTGACCTCTCGGGTGGTACCCTGCTCGTCGTGCGTTTGCGGGCTTCCGGTAGATTTTCACCCGGATGTTGCAAATTGAAAGTTTTGACGGCTTCGTCGGTTTTCGTCAGTCCAAAGAAGGCGTAGTTATCATTGGATTCAGTCACTTTATACTTAAAAATGTCATAATTTTGTTATTACTTTCATACGTGCATCCACATATCGAGAACTTATTTTTTTTGAAGCACGCGTGATTTATGTGAGATGCAGACAAATAGCTCAAGGTTTACTGTAGTTACGACCTAAAAGAACAGTAATGAAGAAATGTCCAGCATCGCTATTTGTCTTAGGAGTTGGTTGCATCATAATCTATGTTTATTGTAAAATACAGAATATTGTATGCGACGAGAATTATGATAAGTGGCATAATAAGGGTGCAATATGACCATTTCAGGGTCTCAGTGAAACAGAAACAACGCTCTACGTGGGAGGTTTGTGGACTATAGCATGTTTATGTGAAACAAATACCTTCATGGACGCTAAAAGCACTAGGGAGAGTTTCATGTAGCCCTCTGTGCATTTCCACTTATCCTGATTATCCACATAGTGGCTTGTTTTATTTGCATTTACGTTGTTGATGTCTGTAAATACAGTAATAGCCGTTTTTCTGAATTACTAAATGTGTCTGGTCTAAGACTTTTAGTCACTTCTGTTGACGATTTTCGACCAAAATGTTTTATGCACTACGTACTCATATATCGCAGTCGTGCTACATTCTCAACTTACCTCGTCTTGATTTATTATTTAATAACCCCGCATTATTAAGTGAAGAGTATCAGTCATGAACCCTGGTTTGAAACATTCCTGTAGCATGATTTTATTGATTTGATTTGACTTTAAAGATTGGCTACTTTTTGGGGCCGTACGCCTCATCCGAGGGAAACGTTTAGAATATACAATCCCTGTGACAGTTTGTGAAGACATACAGGAGCTACAATTAAGCAAATAGACAATAGTCAAGGTTTGAGGAAACTGTTGAGAAGTATTATGTGTAGATGTAAATAAGTAGACTTTAATTGTTGAGAAGTTAAGAAATGTACGTATCATTGTATGTTCCTATGACCTATAATGGGATTTTCTTATTTTCTAGAGAGCCTCCGAGAGTACTTCAGTAAATACGGCGAAATCACGGAAGTGATGGTCATGAAGGACCCTACAACCAGGAGGTCAAGGTGAGTAAGTGATGGTTAAGTTAGGTTAGGTTAGGTTAACAGGAGTCCGTGTACAGCCATGCCATTTTCCGGTTTGATGAAAACTGGTGTACAGGAAAGTACCTATCAGTTTAAGGCATGAACAACTGTCCCACGTGTTTCCAAAGAAATTAGCCAGGAGAATGTTTGACCTTGAGGGGGAGCCATTAAAAAGATCCAGCAACTTGTGCATTGCCGAAACGTCATCCATCGGACATAGACTAACCCTTTGAAGCCGAAGTTCGTGTAAGTAATATTATCCATAAGAAGACGCATTGCGCTTCAATTGCAAAGATCAGTTGTTAAAGGAAACTGTGGCTGTTTACTTTGAGAATCATACGAAACCCATAAATACATATTGCGAGCAAAATGAAATTTCTGATTGTTACAGTAGGTGGGCAATCCATGCGTATACGTATCAAAAGAGTTTTAATCGATTAATTTCTAATTACTCATATTGAAATCAGAGTTGAAGTTGATTTAAATTATAAATGAAAGCATGTTTCGTGTTCAACGTACATTTCTGAGGTAACGGTCCTTGTCTAAATGATAAAATGAACTTTGAAAAATACTTTGTGGCTATATATGTATGTTTAAATATCACACTGTTTTTTGAGTTCTTATATCATATAGTCTGTTAGGAGTTTACTGACATGTCATAAGTGCTTAATTGCGTCATCAGGGCGATCGCAGGCAGCAAGCACCTCTAAAACGTCGGTAAACGTCTACCAGACTACACGACTTTTTAGAAGATGGCCATATTTTTACTCGCCTTTTACCTGAAACCCCAACAAAACAATATTATTGTATCATTGTCAGGCATTAAACGGTAGGCATCGAACAATAAATAACTCCCTTCTCATATTCTTTAACTTTCCGTGCATAAAATTTTAAAAAAATCTTTTAGCCATAGTATTTATTACAGTATTTCGTTTGCCTGCCTGCTCATTGAAAATATAGCAGACTTTGTTTGGTTGATCATAACGTGTGATTTCTGATGTTTTGCTTGCGGGCCGGGCAACTATTGTTCAAATAAAATTGCTTACCACACACAGAAACTATTTCGATCTTATTAATATACCTGTATTGGACGTTGGCAGGACTGCACTGTTCCGAATTCGCATTTTATTTTGTTCCATGTTGCGTTATTGTACACTACAATTATCTGGCATCAGGTTATATCCTGGAATCACACATGACAAGTGTTTATGAAACCCTTTGCATTAGTAATACAAATGGCGCATTTCTGTGTTCTCTAGAAATGTTCAGAGTGAATTATCAGCAGTGCATATGACAGAAACATGACCATGCACATTAGCGAGTTTGAGAGAAAAATGCTGGGATAATATTTTGACCCAAGAGGCTTGAAGTGCACAAGACTAGAAAACTATGTAGTGAGTGACCTCATAATTTGAGAAGATGTGATGTGTTATGCAACATCCCAGAAGATAAACTATCTTCAAGCCAGTCACCTTCAGAACCTGACATTTCATATATTGTATTTTCGTCTAACTTTCTCATTTCGAAGAAGTTGAACATTTATTATGTTGAATACAAATTATGAAGTTCCTCAATACGGAATTTTCTCCATCGTGTCGATTACTGAATATTTACCAAAACACTTTGTTCTCGTGTTTCGTCATTCTGTGTTCTGTTAGACTGAAAAACGATGTTTCATAACCATGTTAAACTGGCGTTATAGTGTTAAAACTTAAGGTTGTAGATAGGAAACTGAGGATTCTGAAACGAATAACAGCGTCCCCCAAAATGTAATTGCTCTTAATTAAGAGAGTGGAACGTTTTTTCATGAAAGAATATATGCTTACTAATTAGGAGTAAAGACTCTTTTGTCACAAAATTTATATTTTGGGTGTGAAGAATTATGGCTGTAGACGGACAGACTGGTAGGTGTACGTATAATTCTGATCCCTGAGTGTGTCCTTCCATTTCCTGCATCTGCCTTTCGTTTCGAGTTGTGGAAGATTGCTTTCTCTATCTAAAGACACTGGGATGCTGCCCTCCGTTCTTCGTTCCGTGCAACTGGGGCAGTTCAAACTTCTTACTGTAGTTTAAGTGGCAATCAGGGTACGTAATAGGTTTACGGCTGTTCCAAATGATAATTACAAGAGGCGGATAACTTTCAGTTTACTCGATAGGATATTATATTGTGCTTCTGGATATGAAAAATCATCATTTCTTATGACATTGGTTCATTCATTGCAGTCTTAGGATGACCGACTTCTGGGATTTGTGTTGTATAGTCTTGAAGATTTCTGTCTTCTGGGTTGTTGCGCTGTGTAGTCTGGTAGATGTTTACCAACGTTTCAGAGGTCGTACTGCCTCCGTCATCAGGGCGATGAATGACCCTGATGACGGAGACATTATGACCTCTGAAACGTTGGCTAACATCAACCAGACTACACAGCGCAACAACCCAGAAGACAGAAATCTTCATACTCACCGCCCTGATGATGGAGGCAAACATCGACCAGACTACACAGCGCAACAACCCAGAAGACAGACATCTTCATACTCACCGCTGTGAAAACCTCAAATCATACATTGTTTAGTCTAGCAGAAATATACCGACGTTTCGTATTTACTTACTGCCTTCATCGTTAGGACAATTGGAGGCAGTAAGTAAATACGAAACGTCGGTCAATTTATACGAGACAACTCGACGTAACATCCCAGCAGACATTCGTATTCCTCGTACGTCAGAGTAGGTGAAGTTCAATTTGAGTTTTATGAATAAAGTGGGTGCTATATTTCTCGTAAGTTTTTCCTAGCAACTTTCAGTTGGAAACAACGAGACTGATCTCGTCATGAACGCTCAAGTTTGGTAATGGTGGCACCGACGTCGTAATGTGCAAGTGAAGATCGTGAGTACCTTCAGATGTGACGTCACGGCTAGGTCTGGTCTAGCGCAATCACCAAACACCTGCAGATATGGCGCCATCACCGCGCGATGCTAATCACTAAAGGGCATTAGAAGCTTGTGGCTCACTAATCAGTGAAACGATTCTAATAGATAACACCGTCTCAGGTGGACTCCCGTACGTATACTGAAGAAATGATGTTTTGCAGAAACGGTATTGCATTAATCGAAAACAGGTCGTTGGTATAATGCTGTTACGATTAAGACAGCGAAAATATTTATGACCCATTCCTTCTTCATTTCACGATTATGGAGATTGGTGTTTCGTAGAATACTTAGCGAAGCTGACTCAGCTGCAAATTGTTACTGTCGGGTGAATAGAAAAGGCCGAAATGATCATCAATAAGGAGCAGGCAAGGATTTTGAAGGTGGTGGTGGTGGAATTTCAAGTTCTTACGACGTTGAGTGCGAGGAACGCTGTCTTCTGGGTTGTAACACCGCGTAGTCTGGCTGATGTTTACCGTTTCAGAGGTCCTTGCTGCCTCCATCATCAGAGCACTACAACTGGTTTATTTGAAATTGTTATTCGAAATTTCGCTTTAGGAGACTAGGAAAAGCCTCGGGGCAACTGGTATTCGAATCCGGTCACTTATCAGTAGTCAGTAATGTCAGCTGTTATATGGACCGCCGACAAGGGGAGACACAAATTGAAGAGGATGGGAGGTGGTGAAACTGGTCCAGTTGCGTGTCTTGCTATAGTCTGTGTTGAACTATTTTATTATTTTGTCGGCACGTTGGTTAGCTAATTACACGACCATAAATTGAAGTTCAGTGTCCTCCATAGATTTCTTGTAGAGCTTGTCGAAGTTCTGCAAAGTGCAGTGATTCTTCAGTGGAACAGAATCTTTGGTTAGTGATGGCAGCACGTGTTAATCACTTCTCTTGTTTTTTTGAAGACAGTGCTAACAACGATCTCTCTTTTGTTTAACAAGTAAACAGAGATGAGCTAATCGAAGGCTAACCACATCCCTGTTTTCTTTTTGTTTTGATTAGCAGTGCGGGCTCTGTACGAAACAGACATAAATCTTGAAAACATTCCTTTCGCAACTTGGGTTAACTGGGCTGTGTAAGAAATGACTGTCAACTAAAGGGGTTGTTTGTCGTAGAACAAGAACGGAATTAATGTATGAAGTTAAACTGGATAGTTTCAAAAAAAAAATTGTCGAATATCTAAACTCAAGATAACAACTGAAGAACGCAACTTTGATAATGTGTGCAATATTCTAAAATCAGTTAACTTCGTTTCAGTAGGAGACAAGATATTAAACAGAATTTTGTAGAAATATATGGGCCTAATTCCACCGCATTTATATTGATTGATTCATTAATCGTATAGTTCGTTCGATTTCTCATTTACCTATAGATTTATTTAATATTTAATTTCCGATTATGTGTTTTATTCACCCAAAGATTAATTCACTATCATAGCAATGTATTCCCCTGATAATTACATAGTTTATCTTATTTATTTACAAGTAGTTTGTTCATAACATGGCTGTATTCACCTGTTAATTAATTTACTGCATTTCTTCATGTATTTAATTATTTAGCATTTAGGTCTAATCGAGTCACTCCACACACATTCGATAATTAATTTATGCTTTTAATTATGTTTCTGCCATTAATTTGTTGTTATGATCCCCCAGAGTTTTTAAAAACTCATGGAGTTTAATAGTTACATACTTTTCGTCATATTAATATATTTCAGGTAAACTACTCCCATTGTGGTTTGAGTAGAATCCAGTATGTGTGCTGGCAATTCCTGATACGTGTTGGAGTTTGTTTAATCCTGAAAATAAATATGTCATCGTTTACGGAGTCTCTTAATTCTGTTCGTGTCCGCTTGGTTGAGTCCAATTTCCAGTCTGCTCTAGGCTTACCTCCTCGGTACCAATCATGTGCGTTTACACCCCCCTCCCCCCTTTTTAATTCTTATATTTATCTTTTGTGCGCTTTTATAATAATTAGAATATTGAAGATTTCTGTCTTCTGGGTTGTGGCGCTGGAAGCTCTTCTGAAACGTCGGACAATTTCT